TGCTGCACAGATGCACCTCCGGCGCGGCGACGTCGCCGTGAAGGAAGAGCAGCTCCCGCGGGGTCTCGGAGCAGAAGCAGCCGAGCGACCTCGCCCGGGCGGCCTCCGCCGCGGGGATGGGTTGATAAGACGCGCGATGGGTGGTCTCCCCCGACGGGAGGACCTCCCCGCGAGACGCCGGCGCGAACGACGACAAGGACGCCGCGAAAGGGGGGGCGCCGAAGGTGTACCGCTCCTCCGCCCAATTCCCGAGCAGCGTCGCGCAGTGGTACTCCGACTTGACGGAGCTCGGCCCGTTCAAACTTTTGAGCGGCATGGAAAGAAGGTTTCACCGTCGTAGGATTTTTTTTTTTTTTCTAGAGGGGGTGGTAGTGGTTGGTGGATTCTGTGAATATAGAAGGAATAAAGGAAGGAGGAGGAGGCGGTGGTGGGAAAGGCGGAAAAACAACTAAATAGGATTACGGGAGCCCCTTTGGTTGGGTGCTTGGACGACGCCAGAACCCTTGTTTATTAACTTTCGAGTCGATTAGCAGTGCCGGTCTAAATGACTTTCTCACACCGAGAAAAGAGGCAGGCTAAAATTTGGCTACCCATAACGAAGCAAATCATATAAGAATACGTTTAAGAAAAGTTGTATGGGAAAAGAAGAGAGTCTTGGAAAATAAAATATACACATCATTTCATCTCGTGTATATAATTGGCCTGGTTATAAAAAGAGACAAAAAGTTTATGGGTTTAACGGAGCTGCCGTATCCATCCGCGTCCACCACGTAGCAGATGGCAAACCGGCTCAAATCTTCCGCGTTTCAATTAGATCATTCAAGTCGCGAACACATTTTTTCCCTGTATTCCTTCACATCAAATGTAGAGTTTTCCATCATCCAGTGTGATAAAGCGTGTTGCTGTCGCTTCAGATTCTCCGAAGATGCGATAGATGGTGTCGTAATTATAGGATTGGTAATATAACGGCATAACTTACACCTTGTAAGGTAGTAGTCGTACTATTACGCAACCTTTTGGAGGATCATCTGCATTATGCATCTAAGGTCACGCATTTGATAGGGCCCGAATTACAAAGTTGGCGGAAAAGCAGCATCACGAAGGGATCATCGTCGCGGAGTATCGCAGAGGACTCACGATGATCCAGTTAGAGACCCATGGTGCACAAAAATGTGCAGTTAGTCCACCTGCACGCACCATCTACGTTGAGAATGGATCCAAAGAAGCTTTGCTTTATTCCAGAAGAAACGAAATGAGAAGCTGATGATTTTTTCCACGTTGGGCGCATACAGGTAAGGCGAAAGACATATTCGCATACATATAAAGCTTGCCTACCGCAAACAGAGGGATAAAATAATTAAACAATGACATCTAAGAAATATGGTAGGACTAATGTCAGCTTCATTAACCTCCTCTATAGCTCTTTTCGGTACACAACATTCTATTAAATGCGTACAGAAACAAGATAAAAGAGTAGCATAATACAATATTTTCTCTTTATTTTATTCATAATAAATATAGTAGCTGATTCTATGGCCAAAAGGGAAGAAGAGAACAGTATTAAACAAACTAATCCATAAAACTACAAAAGCATTGAGTAAGGTTTAATCAATGCGGTCTCACTTTTGGGGTTATTTTTTTTTAGAGAGAAAAACAAGTACAGGAAAAGGTGTATAAGGATCGGATGCCAAGCGCATCACGGTGATCTTTTCCCTTATACTATTCCGAACTCTTCTCTTTTGAAATAACCATGCCGTGTTGCTAGGGTTTGACACCGTGAGTTGGGTGAAAACATTGGGCGTGTATCCCTTCTCTGGGAAATTGGGTTGTATCTAGTCTACCTTCTTAATGAGAGGATATTCCGACAATCTCTTTGATGCTCATGCATATAAATATATATATATATATATATATCGGTTGAGGCCTAAGGGATGTCGCCACGGGGGGATGCCGTCGTATCAGCGCATCCAAATGCGGGAAAAAGCTTTCCCGTTCCTCTTCTCAACGCCAATTTGCTATAGCGCGAGTAAATCATGGGTATTTACGTTCATTTTTCCTCCCGCCTCTTACAAAAATCGTCATTTTCCATTCTTTAAATGCAATTAGCCCTAAAGCAGATTCACACTAACGTGAATATACCCGACGACACCCGCTTCGGTAGCTTCTCCCGCCTGTTCTACCCTCCGGGTGGGGTAGCCGCCCCCGTCCTTTTTCCCCTCTTCTTCACGCACCACGCGATAATACCCCTCTAATTGATTCAGATACTTCAGCGGTCGAAGATCGACGCGGCAGGACCCCATCAACGCCGCGTGCGACCAAAATCGAACCTCCTCGCTTTCCTCCCCCCCTCCATTTTCTCCTTCGCCACCTTGTGGCATTTCTTCCCCAGCGTAATGCCATAACGTCAGGCGAAGGGCCCCTAAACGCCCCCCCTCTTCCACCCCTCCTTTTTGCGCGAGACGGAGGACCCCGCGGTAGCCAAAAAACGGCCGCCGCGAGCGAAAAACGACCGCCGTGCGATCCCACGAGGCAGGAGGGTCGACGCGCCACCCCGTCAGAAACGAACCATCCGCCGCCGTCAACGCATCCACCACGACGAAAGGATTCGGCGCGGTGAAGCCGTCGCCCTCGTCGCCGTCGTTTTTGCCTTTTTTCCCGTCGTCGCCGTCGAGGGCGACGCAGGGGAGGCCCTGCACGTCGTGGATTCGCACGCACAGCCGCACCCGCGGGCGCGACGAGGCCGCCCCTTCTTTACGATCGCTCGACGAGACCGACTCCTCGACGCTCGAGCTCGAAGATATCGCCTTTCTCTCGTAATCCCTCGAAGAGATCGGTTTTCTCTTATAATCCCTCGAGGGGATCGCCTTTTTCTCGTGATCTCTCGAAGATATTGCTTTTCTGAGGTGCTCTCGTGAGGATATCTCCCCTTCTACGCGATCGCTTGAGGATCCCGCCGTGCTGGAGGAGGCGACCTCCTCCAGGGAGGAAATCCGCCGCGGATTCGAATCCTCCCGGCGAGGAGGAGGGGCCGCGTGGGATCGCATCCGCGCCTTCACCCTCCCACGACCGTGAGCGAAAAGCTCTAGATCGAGATGGCAAAAAACGTTATTTTCGCCGCTCACGGGATCCCGCAGGACAATCTCACGGGATTGCGCGAACATCCCGACGATGCAAAGTCCCAACAACTCTTCTGAGAGGACCGCCCGCTCGACGGTGGAGTCGAGCCGACGGGGTTGGGATTTCACCTTGATGAATTCGATCACCAGGCGACTGTTTTTTTCGGAAAAAAAGCAAACCACGAAACTCAAACGAATCGTCGACTGGGTGAGGGGAATGTGGTGAACAAACGAGGAGAACGGGCCGGCCACCGGGCTCTCCACCGTGATATCCTTCGACAACCGCACGTTGATGCGGATTTCCTCCAAATCCTCCGTCATCCGCGTGGAGGGAAAGGAAACATCCGTAAAACGCATCTCCACCACCGTGCGATGCGCGTCTACAAGGGTGGAATGAGAATCCAACGGGGGGGAAAGCCGCACGCTCGATGGATCCTTCACCCCCACCGCGGTAGGGGTGGCCGATCCTGCAGCTGGGGAGAGCGAAGCGGCCTCGCCTTTCCGGGTCGCCGCGTGATCTTTTTGGAGTTGCAGCATAAACTCCTCGGCGTCGCTCTCCTCGGAGGTGTAAAGTTGAGAACTGAGGTCGTCGGCGTCGGTTTCGACGTCTCCTTCGCCCTCGCCCTCGCCCTCACGCCTTCGCGCTCGCCACCCGCCGCGTGGATCGTCGGGAAACGAAACACGCGCGCCCGCAGGCGGCATCGGGGGGAGGGGAACGGAACCCACCCCCGACGACGGCAACGCCGCCTCGCCGAGGGAAAGGGGGAGGAAACCCGACGACGACGCCACCCCCATCCGCCGCCGCAGCTCCGCGCCCTTTCGCAGCAGCTCCCGCATCAACAACGCCGTCGAGGAGCCCGAGGAGGGGGGGGAAATCGTCTCCGTGGGGGTTTCCACAGGAGGAGGAGGGGGCAGCGGAATCACCCGCTCGACCTCGACGGAGGGGTGGTCGCTGAGGGCGCCGCCGTGGCTGCTCAGCGAGGTGTCGCCGCGACTCCCCTCCACGGAGGTGTTCAACCCCGCCACGGAGGGCGCGGGAGGGGGGTGGGATAAATTTTCCCGCGCATCCTCGCGATCGCCTGGGTCGTCTGCCGTGAAAAGGAAGTCCGGGCCGGACGTGTCGCTTTTCTCGCGCCGTTTCAGGACCTTTCGGGGGGGTTTCGTAAAGTAATAGAGATGCACATGGAGCTTTAGTTTGCCGATCGGAACGGTAAGGGTGGAGGAGGGGGGGGAATCCCCTTCCATCCCGCCGGGCGCGTGCTGCTTGGATTGATGGAGCACGCTAAACCACCCGTGAAGGATATTCTTCGCGAACGACGAGGACGCCTCCGGGGAGGTTAAGGAATCCAACGGGAGGATGCACTTTCCAATCAAAACCGGCGGGCGCCCGCTGTAGCTGGAGGGCACCGTCACCTCAAACTGCAGCCCTTGATGCGAGGAGGCGGTCATATTCTTCAAATACTTCTGAAACGCGGATTCCTCGACCTTCACCGGGTAGACGAGGGTGAAGGAGCCGCGATGGTGCTGCGCGGTGGAGGGTTGACAACTCACCGAGGGCTTTTCCTCCCCCCAAAAGAGCGGACTCACCGCGCAGTAATCTACCGGAACGACAAATCGATTCGGGCTGATCGTGTGGCTCCCGGTGAGCGAATCGAGCGATGGGTTGGGCGCGCCAAAATGAAAGCTCACCAGGGGGTTTTGATTCACCGAGGCGTGGTCGATAAGCAGCTTATCTACCCGAATGCGCAGTTCCCCCCGGGTTGGGGCCTCCACCCCGGGGGGAAGAGGGGAGCCGTATAAAAGCGGCATGCCTCACTAGTTTGGATACTTGATCCTACCTATCAAAATTAAAAGGAGCACACATTATGTATATTATGAATATATTAACGTGGTATCAATGCAGTGTTATAAGCATACGTATGGACTCCAAAAAGTCGATACCTCGACCTGCGGGGAACCACCCCTCAATCGTCGTGCCCTAATCCAGAGGCACAAGTCCTTCTTTCACCAGAGGGAAGAATCCCCCTTTGCTTAAGACAAAGAAATTTCATATGGAAAAATATAGAGGGCAAACATAATTTCTATCCCTGAAGAAAGAGATGTTTGCGTAGATTTGCTTCACGCCTCCTCCCCAGTTAAGAAACGATTGAAAAACTGCAACATCCCATTCATCATAAAATTTAACTAGAATATAAACTGATCTGTTATCATTTAAAATAATCTCTCATTTGATTAAATAGTGTTCACTATATATAGTTCGAAGGCGGGGATATATGCGCACAAAAACTACATATCAATAGAATGACGTATTTATGCACTCTAATCATATCGCATAAAGGGGTTGTAAACATGGTATGATCTTCCCAAAACGGAAACAATGCTGTGGAAACCAAAAACAAGGGAAAATCAAGAGTCAATAAATAGATGAATAGATGTATGTATTTGCATAAAGTAAAACGATTCCAATTATTTGTATTGCAAGCTGGACTTCAATCCCTTTTTAGCACCTCCCGACCCCTTCTCGTATGCTTCACTTTTGATTTTATGAATACTAAACTTATCTACGGTGCTTTTTTTCTTATCGAACGCACATAAGTTTAACTCAGACTTCATAATATTCGAGCTTCACACAATTTTTTGGTCTTGTTGAGAATTAGCAAGAAATAGGGGGTCGTCTCGGATGCCATAAGAGGCGTTGGCTGAGACTGGAGGCGGAAACCCCATTGTGGGGTGCTGCATTCCGTAATATGCTACAAGAGTCTCCCAATCGCTCTCGAGAGCCGTGGCGTACAAAACACCTTCAGAATCTCAATATGCCTTTTCAGTGTTGTTTTAGGCATAATGCACTCTATAGTTGATAAAATGTTAAAGCATGTTGAGCAGCTTCACGGAAATAATCAATTTGTGTTTCGTTTGATTTTACGAAGTAATTCCGTAAGTATATTGAAAAACGACTTCTGTTGTATAATTTTCCCATCCAGCAACGCGACTGCTTCTTCCATTCACTGCGTCCGATTACACAGCCACAGACGTATGCATTTGAGCTTTTTATTTTTAAGATCACTAGGGAGTTCGCGCATAGCCCCCAGCAGTAATGGGATCGATCCCGAATATAATATCCATTGATGTTCATAAGGAGATCAAATCCTATAGTTATCCATTTTTGTTTAAATAAAAGTATGCACTTCTTTAAATAGATAGTTTGTGGAGAAGAAATACAAATATTTTCCCATAAGGTCGCTGATGTGGCGAAGTTAAGCCGTCATAAAATGGAAGATTGTGAAAAATAGTGATGGAAGGAGAAATCAAGGAATCCATAGACAGATAAGCTAATCAGTTATGGCTAAAATGCATAGAAATGAACTTTTTAATCAATTTATTCAGGATTTCCTCGTAGGACTCAATAAATATTGTATACAGCAAACATATCACTAAAGTCCTAATTTACTCCAGTAATTGTGTGACATAGAAATTACTTAGAATTCAGTCAACTTCTCCTAACCAAGGGAAGCGATTCCACTTTGCTACCCCCATAAAAAAAAAAAAAATGGCTTTTCTATTTATTCTTATTCCTAGTCTATCAAGCTTCTCCCTTTTTCTGAGTGCCAGGGGACCGCTTTGTATCTATCGAATCCCCATGTGGAGAGGCTGTCTGTTGCGTGGCAGCGCGCGCCTTCTCTGCCTTTTTCAGTTTTTTGCGCTGGGTTGCTGTCAAAGGTGGGGTGATTGAACCAAATTCCCCCTCCTTTCCACTCATTGGGTCGAACTGGGAGGAGAAGCTGAGCATTGCGTCCTCTTTTCCGTTGTCGGGTTCATCCTGCGCGCCCCCGTCGCCCCGCTCGCCATTCTCCATGTCGCTAATCCGGAATTGTGGGGCGTAAACCTCGATCTCCACCTCCTCCGTTCGCAAACTCGCGTGATTCATCACGAGAACGGTTGTATTCACGAGGGGTCGTCGATTCGCCGCGGACGCTGGATTCTCCAACAGAGAAAAAGGAGGCGGGTGTGAAAAAGGCGGTGATCCCGCACTGCTCTCGCCCAGCATCAGCGGGGAAATGGGTTCCTTCAGGCGAGGAGGGGAATCCACGCCTCCGCCGGGGAGGGGGCTGTTCGCGCCGGAGAGGGGGTGGCGTGCAGGCATCCGCCCGCGATACCCCCGCAGGACGTGAATCAACGGAAGTTGTGGGAGATTCGGCACCCGCACCCCTCCTTTTTTGGATCGCGGGAAGGCCACGTAGGTGAGTTTCCCCATCCCATCCGGGAGCTGGCGGGATTCGGAAACGAGCTGGTAATACGCCGCGACGGCGTGGCAAAGCAAACGGCCGTAGCCATCGCGAAAGCGAAAGACCAGGACCTCGCTCGTTTCCCCGTCTTGGAGCATCCGAGTGAAGCAGACGTCGAGGTCCTCGATTTGCGCGTGGAGGAATTCGCTGTTGAGGGCGTGGTGGAGCTCCCCACGTAGGCGGGTGTGAAGGGCCTGGAAGCGAACCTCCGCCGCGTCGGGATCGCGCGGAGGGGGCGGCGGCGGAGGGGGTCGCCCCCCCTCTGCGCCCTTCTCCTCCTCCCCACGCCCGAGGCTTCGCAATAACGCGGGCGGGAGATCCACAAAAAACGGTCGAAATCGCCGCGCGCCGTCGCCGTCGTCGTCGTCGTCGTCCTCCTCGTCCTCCTCCTTGGCGTTCGCGGCGCCTCGCCAGGTGCGGCTTTGCTCGAGCAACGCGATCCCCATCGGGGTGGCGAAGTAGTCATTCAACAGCCGATTCCGTCGTTTTTTATTTCGCGGGGCGTAGACGCCCGGGTAGCGCCGCGCGCGTCGGGCGGCGGGGTCCAGGACGGTGGGTTGCGAAATCACGACCTCGCCGCGCCGCGCGAGGCGGAGGTCGCCGTCGCTGGTATCCGAAATCTCCTCTCGGGTGAGGACGAGGTCGCCTGTGGGGGTGTACCCGACGCTTCGCCGCTGCACGCGGCGTCGGGTGGTTTTAAAAAGGTCGTAGGGGTGGAAATGAACGGCGGCGGCGAAGTGGCGAGGGCCGTCCTCGACGCGGAGGGTTTCGGTGCAGCGCTGCCGCAACGCCGCGGCGGGGGAGGGGGCCGCCGGGCAGCTGTCGGTGATCACCATCGACCGCCGGAGGCCGCGCGCGCGGCGTTGATAGCGCGGGGTGATCAACGGCACGACGGCCGTCCGAATGGGCACGGGAGAGGCCGCCTCCGGGGAATCCGACGGATCCGAAGGGGACATCGGAGCAATCGGAAGAAGAAAAACGAACCCAAAGATTGAAAAAAAAAAATGGATGTGTGGGGGGGGGTGAGAGAGGGGGGGGGGGGGAATGAAAACCCCACTGATGAATCGGGAAGGGTGAGAGAAAGCGGGCCGAGCGTGGAAAGGAAGGTTCACCACGCGGAAGCGGAGGACGGCTAGAGGGAGGCAACCAGAAAGACGCTAAACCACACACTATAACAAAGGCAAAAAGGAAAAAGATAGAGAAATGCGAAGCATAACACCGCATGGATGATTCAACAGGTATCAGATGAGGGTTTAAGGGTGTTTGTTTAGTTCATCGCATTATACAAA